CCCGCAACCTGTTTCTCCTTTTCAATTTTCTTTTTGTTAACCTAATAATTGCTCAATTTTGACACAGAAAAATAAGAACAACCCACTGAAAAAGTCCATCAAGCTTTCCTGCCGTCGGTGACCAAAATTTCAAAAGAAAGGAAAATGACGCAGAACTCTTTATACAAAGGCATTTTAAATAAAAATGGGAAATGAAGGAGTACTATCTTTCCATTCAAATCAACAAGAACTTGTGATTTTAAATAAAGGTAGAGTTGAACTTTTTTTTTTTTTTTTTGAAAATTTGCGCACTGGATAACTTGCTCACTATGCAATAGCTCGTAAATTACACAAGAGATGCAAAATATACTGGGCAAGCCTGGTGCAATGAGCACTGACTGAGTAGGTTGTTGATAAGGAGAATTGATCACATGTGTCCCGTGTGGGAACAATGTTTGATCGAACAAATTCTCACTTTTATTTTTCTTTCTTGACAATAACTGTTACCCTGTTGGCACCACACCCACTTTCCAGCCAAATGCGCTAATAATCATTTTCGAATTTCTTTGAAGTTAGTTTGGGTTTAATTTCTGATTCCTTTTCGTTTCCAATTACAAGAAGGTTTGCCTTGAACTTTTATTTATTGTTTTTGGTGTGGGAGTGACGTAAGAAGAGAGAGGAAGATCATTTTTTACCGTAATTTTTTTTTGTGATCATCTTAGCTTGAAATTGCATTTTTGTTAATTTGAGTGTCTTTCTAAATTATTAAAAAATTTGGTCTTTGCCTTACTCCTTAAGCGTAAACAGAATAAATAGTAAGAACAAGGACAACAATTTTTACGTGAAAAATCACTCGGTTTTAAAGGTGCAAAAACTACGATCTACCACGTAGGATTTTAACTTCAACTTCACTAGAATAAATGAGCCAAATGTACTGATTATTGTAAATCAATACCCCCAGAATTATCCAATTCAACTATTTGAATGAATTACAAGCTACTCTAACTTGCACACTCAAACACTTACTCCAACTAATAGATTATGAATGGCATATTGATTACAACTAGATTTCCTAATACACATAAACTAACGGATTCAAGAAGAACACTAAGACTAGTAATCGACTTGAGTGTTGAAAATGTTATTCCACAGCTGACATGCAAAAGGATGATGCCCTCAGTCCATCAGGAAAATATTTAACTTCCCAATACTTCAAGATCTTTGGAAGTCGTGTGCACAATCAACTTCTCATTTGATAGGACTCCTAAAGCTTTAGGGGCTCCACGAATCTTGTGACTCTTGTCAATTACTTATGCGAGCATATATTCTTGGTCAACGGCCCTTAGTACATTAATAGCCTTCTTCTCGCGAACTGGACTATAGTAACTTTGTGCAAAATTTACTGCCTTGTTAGAACTTTCAACAGCTACCTTGAAGACCTGGTTCTTAGCATACTTCAGCAGCCATCTTGAGGACCTGGTTCTTAGCACGCGTTCACAACACCCATTGTTGATCTCCAAACCCCAATTCTCAACAATTTTCTAATTCGTCAACTATTGGATCGAGATGAAATTTTTAATTGGAGTTTCTGAGATCTTGTTCTTCAATTTGAAAAATGTAATCGTGTTTTAGAGGTCTTTAACTACATATTTTGAGCCAAAAACCATAGCTCGATTTTGGGTGATTAAGCGTGGTTTGGTACGAAGGAAAATATTTTCCTAGAAAATGTTTTCATGAAAAATGAATGGTTTTATCATTTATTTTCCCTTATTTGGTTGGTGAGTGGAAAACTTTTCCGGAAAATATTTTTTAGTGTTAGGTTAAAGAGTAGAAAATATTTTTTTTATGTTACTCTCCTCACTCCCCTTCCCCCAAGTCCCCATGTTTCCTTTCTCCTCCCCCCTCCCCCAAGTACTCAACCCCTATTTTCTTCAACAATTTAATTATTCTTCTAAAAATTTACACAAACCCAAAGGAAGTAAGGAACTAATGTGCTGCTTTACTTTTGCAAAACGTTGAAATTTATGATCCATAACTATAAAGAAAATACTTTTTTTTTGGTTGAAAAAGAAAGTATTGTTTCTACAATATGAAAATAAAGTAATTATTTTATTGAAATAAATGAAAATACTTTTTCTAAATCATGAAAAGAAAATACTCATTTTGTTGAAATGAAAGAAAATACTTTTTCTACATCATGAAAAGAAAGTACTTTTTTTTTGTTAAAATGAATTTTTTTTATATCATGAAAAGAAAATACTCATTCGTTGAAATGATAAAAAAAACTATCTATAACATGAAAAGAAAGTACTATTAATAATATTCTTATTTTGGATGGGGATGGGAGCGAGGGTGGGGGTTGGGGTTGTNAGCGTTTTGGAAAATATTTTTCCTTTCTCTTGATAGGGAAACTATTTTTCTCCATTTGGAGGAAAATCAGTTTATAAGGAAAATATTTTTCAAAACATTTAAGTCAACCAAACATGGAAAAATTGTAAAACATTTTCTGAAATATGTTTTCCTTCGTACCAAATATACCCTAAGTCTTTCTTATTCTTCACTTGTTTGTTGTTGCTTTTATCGATACCTGTCTCTCTATATCTGTCTCTCTTTACGTGGCACTAGTGTTGTGACCAATTTAGGGGACTTTTATAACGCTCTTTGAAATACTGAAACTTCTATGGATTTGGAGGTCCTATAATTTGTACTATTTGTATATAAAAAGTTTTCCACATAAAATTTGGTATCTCAGATTCTCTTATTATATATATTTTGTTGTTGGAATTCCAAACCTCTCACTTCATTTCTTGAAATGGTAGCGTGTGAGCTGTGTTTTCCTTGATCAAACTGAAACTAATAGCCCATTTACCTAACTTGATAGCGTTGTGTTAGTTGTAAAGCCAAGATCAACATGGTTGTGATTTTGTCATTTCGTTGGCTCAGCGTTTTTGCAGGAATTGTTTGTAGAATTAATTTGATTATGGATGGACCAATTGTTTTGTTCTTACTTTTTGAGGTAAATATCGTTTGAGTGACGTTAGATTCCATACAATTAGTTGAAAAGAAGATAAAAGAAAGGCAACAATAACTTGAACTACATAGGGCTGAACTCAAAATACGAAAGAGCAATTGCTCAGTTGCATCAATTCAGAACAGTGGACAATTGCTAAGATCACACAACGCGCAACTGGCCTTTGAAATTGAGCATAATCCTTGAGATCAACAATTATCTCCAGCTTCATTTAATCGTCTGCTCTCAGGACTCAGGTATATATCCCTTAAATTGCCTTGGATCAATTCAAAATAGTGAAGAATAGACCATTAGTTGCTCAGTTTTTGGTTTCTACTTCTGCTTTGTTGCAGCTAAAAGAACTTTCTTGGACTTCATCACTGCTAATTAAGATATTTCTGAAGTGTGTTAAACTTGGATCTCTCTAGATTGATTTGCGGAGATTACAGCGAGGCAGAGGTAGAAAAGCACAGCAAAATAGGAGAGCATGACACTATCTGTAACCTTGTGACAGAACTTTGAGACATGATCACAAATGGGCATCCATCCCGAATGGCTCTCTCCATATTTCCCCACATATCCAATTGCAGTGGCTGCTGCGCATCCAGCTAGCAGCAGTGCCATCACAATCTGTCCTCACAACAAAATTCCAACATTCACATTACTGCTTCAAATTTATACTGAGTTTATAATAGAAATGTATGGCTTTTACAAGAGTAACAGTTTAACTATTGTATATACTGATACGTGTAAACAAAATATTACACTACTATGTTACCTAGAGATAATTATAAATAAATCGTCCACAAAAAGTATGATTAATAACCTAAAAAGATAAGGAAGCTTACATATTAGTACAACATGTTAAATTATACTGATAGTGTAAAGATAAATAAAATCCAAAGACCATGTGTTTCAAAGTTCTTCGGGGCCTAAGAGAAAAACAAAAAAAAGAAAAAGAAAAAGAAAAAGCTCATACATTCATACTAGCTAGCACCATTATACCAATATCTACCACTTATAGAGCATGTTTGGCCAAGCGGCAAAAATCAGCTTATTTTAAGAAGTGATTTTTTTCTTAAAAGTGCTTTCTCACAAGTACCTTTGGTAAGAAGCAGTTTTGTGTTTGGCTAATTAATTCGAAAAGCATTTCACAGCAGCATTTAGTGTTTGGCCAAACTTTTAAAAACTGCTTCTAAATGTATTTTTCTCAAAAGTGCTTTTCAAAAGCATTTTTTTTTCTTGCAAAAGTCTGCCCATAACACATCAACTTTGAAAAAGAAAAGCACTTTGGAGAAGTTTGCTATGCCCAAACATGCTATTAGCATCTAGCTCTTTTTTTTTCCCTCAAAACTAATCAACAATTAGGGAAATGCATGCATAATGCATTGTAAATGACGTCTAAGTTTAGGCCTCATAATAAGAAAAGAAACAAATCGAGAGACAGCAAATCATTTAATGCCAGTATTGCGTGACGTTACAAGCTTGCAAGTAAAGTATGTTTTTTCCAGACCCCCCAAATGGACTTACATTTACCTTTGAGTCTACATTGATCAAGAAATTTTCCTAGATCTACTAACAATTTATAGTAATAAACACAATGAATAGTACTACTAGAAGATGGATATTCAAGCTATGCAAACAAATTGGGCGTACCAAATCATGAAGAAACATGCAAAAGTAGTTCTTTGGGTCGAGACACTTATGGCTTAAAACAGAGGCAAGAAACAGGGACAAAACAGAGAAGGCACATCCAATGATATTTGCAAAAGCAAAGAACCTGCAGAGAACCATTCAAAACGAAATAAGCAGCAAAATCAGAAGATATTTAATAAAATTCAGAAATTTCAAGGAAAAACCCAAAGATTTGCTTTTTCATATTCTTTACTTGAAAATTGGAGAGTAGCTATATCGAGCATCCATCTCAAGTCCAAATACAGTAACAGTCTGCTTGCTGGTGAGAATAATCCAAGTGGACGCCAATGTGAATGCAGTTGCCAAAATTCTCAGGAAAATTTGGGTCTTCAACAAACATTTGTAAGGTTTCAGTGGTGGGCTTTGCATATTTTTGGCATCTAAACTCTCCATTTTTGGGATCCCAAAATAGTAAAAGGGGTTACAAGAAAAACAAGAATGGAATGAGGATGTACGTAGATGTTGGTGGTGATATTTATACATGGGAGAGAGATTATTCAATCGAATGTCACTTTAAAGACGGGCAGAAAATCTAAGGACGTTTGAAAACTGCTTCCCTATGATTTAAGACGAAGATTAACAAAAATGCATTAATTAATGGTGGAAAATAAAAAGAAATAAGAAATGCACTAATTGGTACCCTCTTCTGTCACTTGAAGTGATATTTTGGCATTTTCCTGTAGTCCATAATATTTGATTTTTTCAAATATCAAGAAAAAATTAACTTCTTATTTCCAAAGTTCTTATTGGTATAAAGAGCCTACAAGCATTTGTTGTATTTTCGATGAACAAATTAAGGTTAATATGGTCAATTACATTATTACATAATGCTAAAAAGTTAATTCCTTAATATGTGTGAAAACAACAAAAAAAATTACTTAAAGTAGACTGGACGAAATAATTACTAAAGTAATTAAGTAAGGGTTACAATAGGATGAATATGTTTTCTCCATATTTAATTAGAGGCCTTGAATTTGAGTTCTGTGGTGAACAAAGTTCTGGTAGAAATAGTTTCTTTTCTTAATGGTATTATGCGGAGCAAATCTGGTTAATCGGGGAACCAGACACTGGGGTGAAAACAAAAACAATTAAGTAGCAGGAAATGAGATTCTAATGGATTTTGGGTACAAGTTAGGACCCGTTAAATTTGTCATTACGGATCTCATGTTTGTTCGCTATATATTGGCCTTCTATTCCGGAATTAGTAATGACTGGGCATTGGTGAATTTAGCCTTCGATTTAGTGGCTGTCAATTTTACTTGTTTAGAGTAAGCATGACTTTGTCTTTACTGATCTTTACTCAAACAGTACCATCTTATCACCAATAAATGGGAATTATAGATAAGAATCGTAGTTTTTCAGTCAGCATAGCTGAAAGTCAAAAAAAAATTTACCACACGATGCAATACACGTAAGCAAAGCAGAACATGAAATTCCAAAGATACCCTCGGAATAAATGTAATTCCAAGAGACACACGAGACGACGGAGAGGAGCTTGGCTTTCCTTTATGTATAGTAGTAAAACAAGTACTCCATAAGTGTTTCATTTTCATACGAAGCTATTCTTCCCTGAACCGAAGAAATCAAATTAGCCAACCAACTAATTTGTGACAAATGGAGAGTTACACGTCCAATCTTTCAGAATTGTCAGATTTCAAACTAATTTTCATTAACAGAATTAGTAATGTTTTCTAACGCCAAAATTTGCAGAAAAGTATAATATGCTAGAAAAGATACTTGGAAAACCTCAACTTATAGAGAGAAGGGAAAAGAGAACGAACTTTACGTTCTACAATTATGGGGTGGATAAAATATTACAAGCTTACTGCAATTTAAAAATTTAAACAAAATGTTAATGAGACATTTGATGGATACTAACCTGACTATTAATATTAAAAAGAGAGACCTATGGCTTGGTGTTATGTTTTGTCACTTCTTTGTTCATGTATATTAGTGCCCTCTAATCAAAAAGAGAATCCAGTACTTCTTGGTTGTGAATATCTGAACTGATTGTTTGCTGTTGACGAATTCTTGTTTAGGCAGTTCATACCATTCATACATAGTGTTTTGATCTAAGATTTCACTTCTTCCATCTTTCAGCAGTAACATATTCTTCCATGAAGCTAAGGTCCAAAATATGAAAGAAACAAGTGTTTCTACGACTCTACCACCTAGTCAATTCTGTTCCACTTAATCCCTCTTTCATGGCCACATATCTTTCCGGCTAAGGAATGAGAAATCTTTCTCCTGTTATATGAATTCAATTTTAATTTCATCCGGGAAAAGCCACCTCTGTCACTACCTCAAAATCTCATCTTAAGGATCGTGATGACACCTATTCCCTAGAACTAGTTAAATTTAACACATGTTGAGATTTAACATAAATAACCAACTTAACTATAAAATATTAACTGATAACTGAAATAACATAGCTGAACCGAACAACAGTCATACAACCCCAAAACCGGTAGTACATAGTCATAAGCTCTACTGAGTACACTAAAATCTCTTAATACAATACTATTCTGGAATGAAAATAAACAGTAGTAATGAAAGACAACAAAAGGTGACTCACAGGCTTGCGAAGGCAATGACAGGTATACCTTGGAGTCTCCGCAACAAATCACAAACAGCTGACTAACGTCCAGCACGCACGGAGGTACCTAGATCTGCACAAAAAATGCAGAAGTATAGTATGTGTACATCATAGTGGTACTCAGTAAGTATCAAGACTAACTTCGGTGGAATAGTGATAAGGTTCAAGTCAAAATACTTATTAATCAAATAACCTGGCAGAATATCAATATAGAGCTAACAACGAAAAATCAAGTAGCAACAAAGGATAATCATGTGATAAATCAGAAAAATAATCAAAATACAAATAAAATACAAGTGATAGCAATTAAGAGATAACAACGACAATGCTACCCAGCAAACCTTTCCGACATAAGAATTACAACCAGAATCACCACGAGGTACCATACCTCAACTATCACAAATCACGAGTCTTAAATCGCAAATCATATACGCATGACACCTCGTGCCCACATTATCGATTACAATTGCACGGACAACTCACGTGTTGCACGGACAACTCATGCGCCAATAACATCAATATCTCGGATCCGCACGGATAACTCACATGTCAATAATAATAATATCTCATATCCACACGGACAACTCAGGTGTCAATAGTAATAATGTCTTAGATCGCACGGACAACTCACGGGCTACTAGTCCAATCCACACACAGAAGGCAGATATACAAGAATACATGCACATGAAAATGGACATTAATATTCATACTCATGGACAAGTATAAATGACATGTTACTGTGTATGCATGTGCAAGTGTACGAACATAGCTGAAACCAACAAGTAATAACATAGATACCGAGTATTACATTGGAAATAACACAACAAAATCAAGTAATATGCATGACACATACAAGGAAGTCACACCACCATACGAACATCATCAATAATATGCCCAGGCCATCACATATCATCCTTGACATAACCCTCATGTATACGTCTTTCACATAATTCAAATAGTACAATTAAACCAAATCATATGGTGTAGTTTCCCCCACACAAAGTTACACCAGATACTTACCTCAGCTAGACAAGATCAACACTCAAAAATGGCTTTTCTGTTAAAATTCACCTCCGCACAACTCAAATATAACAAATAGCGACATAATATCATCAACCAATGCAAGAGTAACAATTTTCAATTAATAAAGTTAAGAACTTTACACAATTACCTAAAAGTCATCAAAAATAAACCACGGCCTGGCCGGTCAAAATACGAGTCCAAAGGTAGAGCTCGACTATCCATAACCCCACGAGTCCATATACGTATTTTGTTTTCAAATCCGAGTCCAATTCGATTCTCAAATTTGAAATTTTTATTTTTCAAAACATAGTAAAAAATTCCCAAAAACTCTCTTCAAATCTCATGATTTTAATGTTAAATCTCATAAATAATCATGTAATATAATTGAAATTGAATCAAAATCGCTTATCCAATAGTTGTATGCGAAAATTCCTCCTCAAAATCGTCTCCTACCTAGTCTAGGATTTTAAAATATGATAAATGAAGCTAATTCCCATTTTTCAGCCCTTTTGTTGAGGTGCATACATTGCAAAAGCGATCTGGGGTCCGCAATTGCAAACCCTCGCAAATGCGGATATTCCATCGCAAATGCAGCACCTGAAAATCCCAAGGAAAGTCACAAATGCAACCTTGACTTTGCATTTGCGAAGTCGGGCCCTTTGCAAAAGCGATCATGAGATCGCAAATGTGGCAGTCCCAACCTAGGAACCCCAATTGCTAATGTGATCCGGAGTTCGCAAAAGCGAACTCTGCAATCCTCAACCATTTCGCAAAAGTGAGAAGAAAATCGCAAATGCGGTGGTCCCAAAGCGAGAAGAAAATTGTAAATGCGGTGGTCGCAAATGCGACCAATTCCTTGCAAATGCGAGAACTGAACACCGGCAAAAATCTTAACATCTCTTAAACTCTCCGAAACGTGTCCGAAACTTACCCGAGCATCCGGGGCTCCATACCAAACATTTACAAAAGTACATAAACATCATACCAATTTGCTCGTGGGATTAAGACACCAAGGTAATATCTGGAACCATGAATCGGACACTAAAACATATAAAAAGCACAATGAACTTCAAGAATTGCTAGAAACACAACCATGCCTCTGATTTTGATCAAATCAACTCGGAATGATACCAAATTTTGCAGACCTATTCCAAGTCACAAATGATAAAATGAACCTATTCCAAGTCCCGAAACTAAAATCTGAACTTGATAGCCATAAAGTAAAACAATGGTCAAATTTAAGGAATTTCTAAGCCTCAAGTGCCAACTTTCGGCAAAACAAGCCAAATCAACTTAGGGACCTCCGAATTCAATTTCGGGCATACAACTAAGTCCAAAATCACTATCCAAATCTAACGGAACCATCAAAACTCCTATCCAAGATCAAATACGCAAAAGTCAAACATGATCAACTCTTCCAACTTAAAGCTTCTAAAATGAATCATCCTTCCAATCAATCTCGAATAGCTCGAAAATTGAAACTGACCATACACGCAAATCATAATACATAAGATGAAACTACTCAAGACCTCAAACCACCAAACTGAATGTTAAAGCTAAAAATGACCGGTCAGGTCGTTACATTCTCCCCCTCTAAACAAACGTTCGTCCTCGAATGTGCCAAGAGTCATTCCAAAGTCATCAAATCTATGTATAAGCTCACCATATGAATACACACGAGTGATGCCACATAACCCCAATCCACATAAGCTCAATAACACCATCTCGACCGAAGATTATCCCTTTCACCCATATCGATAAGTTTAGAACAAAATTTCAACATCCGATCATCCCCTAAAGACCCGATTACCACATAAACACACTGTATAATCCTCAACTATATGCACAACTCATGCATACATTCACAAGTTATAACCACACGACATAACACATAACACATATGCCCATAACA